AATTCTTTCACTTGGCAAAGATTTTTCACTTTTTGAACTTGGCATGCAGCTGCTACTACCAAATTAAGTTTGCTTGCACAATGAACAAAAAAAGCGTTATGATTAAGAGCTTTTATTCAAGAATCACCTACTATAAATTCTGCACCATCATACCCTTGGTCTCTACAATTTTGAATATCAAGTCCAAAAAGTCTCTTGAAGTGTATTAAATTTAGAGATATACTAAGACCAGATGTACTAGTCTTGCAATCAATAAATCTTAAAAAAATTGTTGCAAATCTCATCATTTGAATTTACATATCTTAAAACAAGTGACATTTGTTCAGTATTTTAACAGATAACTGCTTCATCACAAAGAATTGAAAAAAAAAAAATTGAATGCTTAAACTTTTTATTGAAACTTCTTCAATTGTTTTCGCACATCAATAATTTGGTTTTGGGTAAAGGTTGCATTTTTTGGACTTGAAAAAAGATGATTAGCTAATATTTGATCACCAGCATCAACACAGTTTATATTGCATAGTTTATATGCAATTGTTCTAAACTTTTTACAAAGTTGATTGGTTATTTAAAAACATTCTTTATTTTATTAACGGTCGATACTTTTTTCCAGTGAGCAAATCCAGGTATCGCGTTTTGTGTAAAATCAAGACCCAAATTCTTTTAATTTATTCTTATTATACTTATTTTCTTTTAATAATTTGCGATAGATAATTTAATAGGTTTATTATATTAAATAATTCTTTTTAATATATTATAGCAAAATTTTTAAAAACTCATACACTATTAAAAATGAATTCGATATTCAAGCACTTATTTTATACGGGTCTGTATTTTATAAAAAACGCGAAACCTGGATTTGCTCACTGGAAAAAAGTTTCCACCTATTGAAACACTTTTGTATTTTTTTGCGGAAGGTTGGTAGCAAACGTCGCAATTGTTATTTTAATAAATAGTGATTGGTTTAAACTGTTTTTTCAACCAATGATTTATGAGTATGATTTATGAGTATTTAGAGTACAAATGCACCACTATCGCAAAATTCTTCCAATGAAAAAATATTTAACGCATCAAAAGCAGAATACGAAGAAGCACTAAAAAAAAATGGTTTTAAAAACGTAAAAAATAAGACACCTCCCAAAAGAAAAAGGAATATAATTTGGTTTAACCCAACCTACAACAAAAGCGTCTCTACCCATGTTGGACAAATCTTTTTGAAATTATTAGATAAAAGTTTTCAAACTCATTGCATAAACTATTCAATCGAAACACTGCAAAAATTAGCTACAGCTGCTCAAAAAACATTTCAAAAATCATAAAAAGTCACAACAAAAAAATAAACTTAATACACGGTTTTCGAAAGTTGTAACAAAAAAATTTCGAGTAAACAAACATCAAAAATGGTACATTTTATGAAGTAGTCAAGTTATTTTTCGAATAGAAGATGGTTTTTTAAACTGAAATAACAATTTTGAAATTAAAATTTTTTGAGTTTTAACTCTCATCATTCTTTCTTTAATTTTAATAAGTAAAAATTGGTGCATTTGCAAATCATTGTATCATAAAAAGTTGCTCAAATGGATGTTATAAACTTATGAACTGGAGATATGAAATAAGCACAAAATATAAAAGTAATAAAGAAGAAATTGGATGAATTGCGCATTACCTTATCAGTTATTTCTTTTTCCAACAATAAAAAATTGACAAATTTGCTTCAATCATTTTAAAGATAAAGAGCCTACATTAAAAAATTATTTTCCCACTGAAAAACTTGGATACGATTCTAGACATAAAGTTTCTCTTTTGTGCCTCTAAATAGAAATAGCACCGTAAAAACTGACTCAAATGTAAACTCCGCTACATACTGTAATAACATATTTTGTTTATCAAAATGGAGACATTTTTTTTGTTAAGCAGCCATGTTCTAGTTCCTCATTACTTAGTGTCAACTTCAGTCAAAATAAAAAACATTGACTTTATGATTGAATCAGTACCAGTAGTAGTAGAAGTAGTAAATGAAAATGAAAGTTATATTATTCCACATTCTAATCTTAATGAGTTTATATATATATATATATATATATATATATATATATATATATATATATATATATATATATATATATATATATATATATATATATATATATATATATATATATATATATATATATATATATATATATATAGTGATTTTTTTGGGAAGTTGAAAAGTATTATTCAAGTATATTTGTAATTATATTTTTTGTTTAATAAAACAACATTAAATAGTTTTATAGGTTACAACAAAATATTTACACTGTCATTGTGTTTGTTACAGTTTTGGTTGACAATTAATTTAATAGAATTTTTTTATATCAATGCGTTAAAACAATATCATGGGTCTAATTAGTAGGCTGGAAAGGCTACTAAAGGCCTGAAAGGCTATTGAAAGCTGTATAGTGTTGTTTTGAGTAGCTGTCTTCTCCTTGCTGACTACATATCTCTCATTTTCTACTCAGGATATTCTATATTCAGAAATAAAATATCCTGAATCGGATAGAATATCTTAGCAAATTTGATGTCAGCTCTGACTATATATGCATCATTGCAATGATTTGTTAATTCGTTGCTTTTTTTACTTATTTAGGTCCTTACAGACGTTTTTCAGGTCTTATCACAGAGCACTGAGGAACAACACTTAACCAGGTAATTCAAACCTCATTCTTTACCAATCAATTGGTAGATAACGAGGCGTGAACTTCCATGTTAAATTCTATCCAAATTAACTTAAATTTAATCCAAATGCAGATTTTATACGTAATGGTAGAAAAGACTTTAATCCTATTACACCAAACAGTTTAAAGTCATCAATGGATTGTGTTTGGAGAACTAAAATTGTTATTATTACTCATTTTAATTAGGCGTTTAGCATGTGTTTTATAGCGATAATCGGTAAGTTTACTCGAAATTTTTTGTTCTGTATATTCTTGTGTATGTATTTTGCATAACAAAAGTTGAGTTTCGAAAACCGTGTATTAACACGACGGAAAATCTCCTTTGCAGTTGTAAACAAAAAGAAATCTGCCCGTTGAATAAAAATTGTAGAGCGACAAACATCATTTACAAATGTATAACATCTTCTCCAAATACTGAAAGAAACACCTAAATTAACTTGGTCTATCCTAAAAAAGCCCCCGCCTACAACAATACAACAAAAAAATGTTTACTTTGTTTATATGAAAAACTAATCATTTTACTTTATAAAAATGCTGAAGAGCTACTTAATAAAAAACAGAGTTAATTCTAAGTGTCGTCACAAAAATAAATCTTTATTAAGCAACCACAACCTAAAGATTAGATACACGCGGTCGTAACAATAAAAAGTTTTTTCCGTATAGGTTTTTTCTGTATGGTTTCAATTATATATAATTTTTAAACGAACAAACTATATTTGTATTTCACCTGATGATTGTAATAGCATGAATCTTAAAGTTGTGAAAATCACGTAGTTTTATTTTCTACTATATATTATAGCTCTGACTTAGTTCATTGAGCACTTTCTTGATAGTATATGCACGAAATAGCATCACTACATATATATTCACGTTTATAAATACTAGTTATAGCATCACATGTATTCATATTTACATATACTAGTTGTTGAATAAAACTGATGATTATTGTAGGATATATATTTTTGCAACTTTATTAAAGTGCACCAAGAAGATCTAACAGCCTTGTAACAAAGCATCGCGAGTATTTAAGAAGATATTTAAGAAGAAGTTTAACGTCACCTCAATCTAATATTGCTAATTCGGTTAAAGAAGGAATTAAACCTGCGACCTTTTAATTCTAAAGCAAGCACTTGACGAAGATGTAAACAAAAATGTAGTTTAATATCACGGCTGATTCACTCAATGTAAAAATGGGCATTACCTCACGAGTTTAGCAAAAACAATTTCCGCATAAAAAGTATTTTATAAAATTCGGCATATAAAGTATAAAAATGTACAAATTTTAAAATATTAGCATTTTTTTTCTATAATCGCTTTTATCTTAAAATAAAAAATATATAGAAGAAATATCTTTTCTTGTTATATAAATATTTACATTAAACGGAATAAAAATAAATATTGTTAAAATATTGCTATTGATTTGGAATAACTTTTCTGTTTTTTGCCATTTTTACAAAAAAACCTGTCTTGGGCCAACTAAGATTTCATAACATAGCTACATGCTTGATGATTGAAATTTGGAATATTTATTAATTATTAAATTATTTTTGGTGCAGAGTTCGTAATTTATTTAAAAAAATTAGTTTTCAATGCAATTATATTTTTAATTTTATCAATTTAAAATGCAAAACGTATTATTTTCGAACTACGCACCAAATTATTGAAATTTTAACCCTTTCTTCATATAAAATCAAAAAATTATAATATGTACTTCTAGCTATGTAAAAATATATGTTATGACATATATTTTCAAACTTAGCTGGTTTAGATACAAATTTTTCTAGTTTAATGCGTAAATTTTTGTTTATATTTCAAAGCAGTCACGTGACGTTAAATACTTTACGTAAAAAAAAAAAAAGTATTTTGGGATTTTTTTATTTCGCCTATTGTAGTGCCTCTATCAGTTCGCATTCGGTGTAAATAATGTTAATGTGTTTTATATTAGTCTAGCTATGATTATATTACATATTAGTCAGAAGAAATATAATTTTTCTGATTAATTTTGCTAAAAAGTACCATTAAAATTTCGAAATTCTGCCAAGTTCGTCATTTTGCGCGTTTATTTAAAATCAAACCAGCCTTGGATTATTATATTGAATGATAAAATATAAAACATTTGGTCAGTGTTCATATTCTTTTTAGAGAACGTATTTATCTTTAATATTTCAAAAGTTATGAAAGTTTTAGTAACACCCACTAAGTAACTATTTTCAAAAAATAACAAGAAGTCGTATGTCCACTCTGAAACAGCCGCGATATAGCATTAACAAAGTATAAAATATCTTTTTTTGGTTATTTTTTATTTATTTATTCAATTATTTCCAAACATAATAACAACACTTGATTCGTGACTACCAACTTTAAAGTTTTGGAAACTTGTATATCCATTGTAATAAGAACGGAGGCCATTTCCAAACCGAACAACGTGTACTAACACAATAGGATATCCGTAAGAATTAGCTATTGCATATGCTTTGTCCATACTCTCTCGTGCATCGACTCTCTGTATTTAATAAAAATATGCATTATTATATAATAAATTTATGTTATATTTAATAAATAATAATATATTTATAATATATAAATAAATAACAATGCGTAATCAATTAATCATTTATTTCTCTATTAAGATTTTACATTCAAGGATGTTCACCATTAGTAAATTTACTAATATAAAGTAAACATCTACTAAAGTTAATAATATCTAATTAAAATAACTATAATGCTAATTTTCACAATATATAATAACAATAATAAATTTCTTAACATAAAAATAACGATGTTAATAATAATAATAATAATAATATAAGTAATAATAATAACAATAATAATAATAATAACAATATAATAAAATAATAATAATATAAGTAATAATAACAATATGAATATTAGAATAATAAAAAAAATAATAGTTAAAAGTAGTTAATAATAGAAATGTAAATATTTATAAAAATAACAATAAGCAATAGTAATTATAACAAAATGTATTATAGAAATTAAAAAAAAATAATACCTAAGACAACAAAAATTGATTATAGAAATTATAAACATTAATTTTTTAAATAAAAAGTAGAATAAACTGGTTTTAAAGGTTGAGAATGAATTGAGCAATAAAATTTGGAACAACCTTTTCCTTTGAACTTTTAGTTTATAAGGAAGGTTCTTCCAAATTTTATTACTTTGATATTTCATATATTTATGCCCGTAATTATAAGAGCGGTGTTTAGAGACAGAGAGGTTTAATTTACTATTAGAACGAAGGTGATAAAGAGTGTTTGCACTTTTTGAAAAAAAAGGTAGGTTATTGTGTTGGTTGTTCCAGACAAATTGACTTTTTAAAAGTTACATTAGGAAAAAAATTAATATTCTAAAAATAAATAATTTTTAAATTATTTATTGTTTAGAGGTGGGATAACCTAATAAGAGCTTGTTGATGAGACTGCCTCCATACTTGGCATTGAGACTGCCTCCATACTAAGTCTTTACAGTGAGATGGAAAGGAAAGATTTGAATCAATTTTTATAGCAAGATGTTTAATTGAGTTAACAGGTTCAATTTTTTTGCCACTTAATATAAAGTTCATATGTTTATAGATTTTTGTTTTATTTGATTTAAATATAATGAGATCATTTTTATTAGAGTTTAGAAAAAGTTTGTTGGAGCGAAGCTACTAAGCTAGATTGACAAGATCATGGTTAATGTGTATGTTAATTTTTTAAAACGATTTATTATTTAGCATTAGATTAGTATCATCAGCAAAGTGGTGAATAGTAGCAAACTTAATGGATGTAAGAAGATCATTAATATAAAGAAGGAAAAACAGTGGTTCCAATACTGAACCCTGAGAAACACCATTAGAACATTTTACAAGGGTAGATTTTGAGTCATTGATTGAAACAAGTTGTATTCTTTTGTTTAAATACTTAGTAAACTATTTATGGAGTACGCCTCTGATCCCATAATATTCTTATTTTTTGATCAAAATTAAATGATCTACGGTATCAAACGCTTTCTGTAAATTAACAAATACACCACATGCTAAATATTTATCATCAATTGCTTTTTTAATTAATTCATTAATTTTAATGAGAGCATGAGTTATGGAGTGATTGGCGCGAAATCCATACTGATGGGTGTAAAAGCATTTGAATTTTTCAAGAAAAGCGTAGAGCCTATTGTGCATGGCCTTCTTAGAGAGTTTACCTATATTAGAAAACAGGGAGATGGATCGGTAATATGTAAAATCTAGTAGGGAGCTTTTGAATAACGGAATAACTTTGTTAAAAATATCTGGGAAAATACCAATTTTATAACGTTTCATTTATAATACTACAGAGAGGCTTTGAAATAATATGCGGGACTAGTTTAAGGAGGAATGTAGGTATGGTATTAGGACCAAGACTTTTTTCAGTTTTGAGCGTATTTGTAATAAGACCAGATATTTCACTTTCAGTTACAGGATTAATAGAAAACGATTTAGCATTTGGCTAATCGTTTAACTCTGCACCAAAAATGTAAAAAGTATTACCGTAAAGGTAAGATAAAATTACCGTAAAGGTAAGGTACAATTATATCCTTTACCTTTATGGTAATTTTATAATTATGCCCATTAAATTAAAAAAAAAAGTATAATAATTTTTTACCATGAAGCCTATTTTATATAATCATAGTCATAGTATTTAACTAGTCTGGAAACGCGGGCCGTTTTCTATCGATTTCGTAAAATAACTTGAGCTTTAAGGGGTGACCGGACTGAGAGTGCATCAAATGTTTTTGTAGCGCAGACTTTGAAAATTTGAATGAATTCGATGCTGTTTTAGCTGTTATTGAATTGCTATTTGTTGGAGGCAGATCTCAATATTAGTTCTAACATTAGACTACCTATTTTAATTTATCCTAACCAAAGCGAAGAAAGAATATTTATGTGTTTGTTTTGCAAGAAACTGATAAACATTTAGTAAAGAATAAAAAAAAGCAAAGATTATTCTTCAACCTATTAGATTTTACAATTATTTAATCAAGATTGCTTCAGATAAATAGTACTTTGCTACAAGCTGGCATTAAAAGTTTAAAATCAAGTATAAATATTTCAATTATTTCAAGAAGTCATTACAGCTTAGTTCCTAGTAAAAACGATGACAACTTCAAAGCATGAAAGAACATGAAGTAGCATTCAAAACATGAATGTTTTCAAAACATGAAAGAAATTTTTTTTTTCAGAAAATATTTTGTAGAATCGATTCTACAAAACTTTTTCTGAAAAAACAATTTCTTTCATGTTTTGATGTAGCAAATCTTGTCTTTGTTTATCTAACTGGTGCCTCTTTTATCAATAATATTATAACATTTAAGCATGTATCCCTCTACATCACTAAACAAAACATTCTATTATGACTTAGTGGGAATGTTTTTGGTACCTCTAATTTTACAATTGGTTTTCTAACATGTCTAAGTTGTATAATGAGCAGTGTTTATCGTATTTGCTTGCAACTAAGTATGCATGATCATCTAACATTTTACATACAAGTTCGTAGATTGTACATTGCAAAATATAACCTGAAAGAGTCAAACTAAATTGATATATAAAGAATATCAATTAAAAAACACTTTCTATTCTGGAACAAGAACATTAAAGAAAAAGTGATATGACTTGAACCTACTAAAACAGCTATTTTCATAGCCACATATTTTTTTAAAATATTATTGGTATATAATTAGCTCCTAGAGTAAGTTCAATAAATGCTTCATGTATATTTAATAGTTTTATGGTGTAATAACTTTATAATAAAACAACAATAAAAGATTGAATAATAAAAATAATATAATTGTCTTTTAATTTAAAATAATAATGACAACACGGCTATTTTACATATATAAAAAATATTTATTTTTTAACTAATCTAATAACATCTTTTTTTTTTTTTTTGGCATGACTTAATACTATATTACTACCACTTTATAATACCTGTGTAGCTAAATACATTTTCAGCTACTAAAAGTATTTTTTATTTTGTTATTATTGAAAGTCGTTAAATGATGGGTTACCCTTGCAAGCATTAAGTGATTGTTAGTGTTGGAAATAATTTTCAAATAAGCTATTTCATAATGTAATAAAGTTTTTAATACAGCAAAAACTTATTACTTAGACAGCAAGGTTAACACTTTTTAATAAATATTTTGCCAACTTTATATGCTCAAAAGTAAGTTTAGGTAAAATACAAAGGTCTTCATAGAATATATAAGCAATGTGGTTCCACTGTATAAATTTACCATCCTTACATTTATATTTTTTTCCATATGCTTTAAGTTGGATAAGTCATATTTAAATAAGACAGTAACGAGTTGTCTTATTTTAATGTGGTAGATTAGGCATAAACGAATCATTTAAAATGCTTTTTCAACAACTTGCGATTTGCATAAACATCGCAAGTAACAAACAACAAGTTTTAAGAAATTTTGATTGCTTTCTAAAGCAAAAGAAACATTAGTCATACAGTGGCACCAGTTGTAAAAGTCAAGTATATCGTCTAGATTAGTCAAGTATATCATCATACACTGCAGCTGAATTTGAAACTAAAAAATTAACACAAATATCTTATTTTAGTTAAAGATAACCTTAGATTTTGAGATATTATTTTTCTGCATTCAACAAAATAGATATTAAATTATAGCTTAAAATCAAGATTTAAAATAATTCTGCAATTTTCTTATAGTACACTGTACTTTTTTTAATATTGAATTAAATTTGATTTAAGTATGATAGTGATGCAATATTTGGTAGCAGACTTTGGCATCATCTTTATTGCATCAAGTATATTTTTTTTATTTGCTATTATATAAATTGTAATACAGCATAATAAAAATAAAATTTTATATACGAGCTTTTGAATTTTAGTTGAAGAAGCTTTGATATACTAGCTATTTTTAAAGTATTTATTAAAATCCTATTTTTTTTTACTGATTAAGTTTTTTTCTTATTAATAAAAATAGAAAAATATTTTTGCACAACATATATTGTTAGTATAGCACTTGTAAAAAAGGTAGAAGTTCTACTGTAGCGTAGAATATGTGATATGCACATAGTAAGGTAAAATCTTCTACCTTCTAAAAAATTGTATCTTTAAAAGTAAAATTTTTTTTCCTTGTAAGGTAGAAAATTAAACAACAAATCACTATTTTTAATATAATTTAGGTAATAATTAAGATATAATTTTCTCTCTAAGGTAGATAAATATGCTATATTAAGGGTATAACACATATCTTTAAAGATACCAACATCTAATTTAGCTTCGAAACCATTCAAAATGAAAAAATTGTACCTTATTTTTTCTTGTTTCCGGAAAAGATGCCAGCATAGTGTAAAGAGTGATATATAAATTATCAACTAATCTAGCTAAGTAAACTATATATAGAATATAGAGTTTATTAAGCTATATTAGCTAACACCTTAAATAAATATACTCTGAATATAATACAAAGTATTTATACCCATATACATCCATCAAGTTATACAGTTGATAAAATATTTGCATCTATAACATATTTTCATATAGTGCATATAACTTAAATGCTTATATGATATAAGCTATATGGTTGAATAAGCATATTTATACTAATACAAACTCTGTCACATAACTACATTTACCAACAGTTGATCATCAACTGCATTTATATTTCGTATTCCGAATAAAAATGATGAATATAACATAAAATAAAGACATCAACTTGATGTCTTTATTTTATGTTATATTCATCATTTTTATTCGGAATACGAAATATAAATGCAATCCAAAATATTAACTTGAAACTGAATAACCAAAAAAATCACAATTTGTTCATGCCATTTCAATATTTATCCCAGAATATATGTAAATTATCTATAGCGAAATACAATGTTTACAATTTGATGCACTCTAAAGTAGGCTGAGCACTAGTATCGAGAGGAACTTAAGTGTTTTAAGAAAACGGCCCCAGACTAGTTAAATACTATGACTATGGTTAAATACTGACGTAACAAAATATAGCTAATATATAAAAAAAAGCCATTGAGTTTTGAATATTGCGGCATTGCTCTAGCAAGAGATATCACAAAAAAAATTTTCACGATAAATTAAAACAGTTAATATAGAGTTGTGTATAAATTTTGTACTATATACAATTTCATTTGTTTTAATTTTTTATTTTTGCATTTTTTTATGAATATTAAATTTTTGCCATACTTTTTTTATTTATTTATTCCTTTTTTTTTTAAAGATTGAATACAAGTTTTTTTTTAATATAAAAGCAGTTAACAAAATGTAATTGGGATATTTGAACAAATACTTACATAATTAGTGACAGACCGCAAAACAGCACCAGCAATTTCATTAAATTTTTCTGTTGATGGAAATATTGAATTATGTCTAGCCCATCCGACTACAAGGTTTCGTCTATGTTGTCTAAAAAAGTGAACGTAGCTTCCTATTACTGAATGGGTGTCAAAGCCGCTAACTTCGTTATAAGCATTAACAGTAAAATAATATTTTGGATAAAGTTGAGATAAATATTGATGAAGTATGGTTCTAAAGTCATCATTGCTTTTTCCACTATGTATAATCATTTGTTGCTCAATTTCCGCTTTTATGATATCGAACACGACATATTTTTCTTCACACGTGGCGCCTTGCCAGCCATTACGACACGAACATCGGAATGTGCACGAACTGTCGGTAATATCTTGACATGATCCTCCGTTTTTGCAAGGAAGAAGCGAACACTTTGGAGTACAACAAGTATAGCCGATGTTATTTGGGTTGTTGTTGCAAACTTGTTGTCGTGGAATACAGTTGTCATTCCAGCCACAACTGTTCTTTGTTTGTGGATTACATGATTTAATTCCAAGTTCTACTTTATTTTTCTCGCAGTAGTCATACATTAAGGGCCCGAGCCACTTAAGAATACCCTTGTAGTTAATACTAGGGTGGTTCTTCATGTGAGTTGCTGTGAATAAATTCAATAAAGAGCTCAGTTCCATTTTTATTGGCGAAGGAGATTCAAACTTTTGTTGAGACCATGAAACAAGATCAGTCGCTGGCTTGGAACCGTAAGACGTTACAGCTTCTCGTTCAAATCCATCTACGGAACTGCTACTTGCTGAATTGGCAATATCATTACAACTTTGGGATGTGCGACCAACACCGACTCCTGCAATTGTCAATTTTAGTCGGTCTTCGTTGCACTTTTGTATTTGGTCATCTGTACTTAGTTTAAATTCATCTGCAGAATATCGCCGTGTTATTGCAGTTCGTGCACCCATTGTAGTCTAAATTAATAATAAAAGTCATACGTTAGTGTTTAACATTAAGCTTAATACTAAATACATTGAGCCTATATTTAAATGACTTCACTGGCGAAATACGTAAAATTACATTCTGTGTTTATAATATCACCTGTTGAAGAAAATGTGTTCCGAATTCTCGAATAAAGTCATTAACGACAGACGCTCGGTTTGATTCATCTGTATTATTTAAGCGAATCAAAGAGTTAACAAAGCCATTGCTAAATGGTGGTGGATCAAAAGGACTTATCCGAACGGTATACGTAGCGCATGTAGCATCTCGTAAGGTCAAAACACCTACGTGAATAAAAAAAGGTTTATTAAAATTTATTTTATTAATTTAAAAGTGAATAAGAAGTTACTAAGTATTTTAAATGAAATAATCATTAAAGTTAGTTTTTAAAAACAAATTTTTACTTATTGAGTGAAATAAATATAGGTAATTTATATAATGCATATTTTAAGTTATTTTCTTTTTAACGTATTTTTAAGATGCATTGAAAATAAGAGAAACAATCCACCCTTTATTGTTCCGATTTTGCATTTGTACATGATTTAACACTGTACAAGTATAAGTAATTTTTTAATCTTAAAAAATAATTTATAGAACAAATAAAAGCATGTTAATAGTTTTGGTCGTTGACTGTTATGAAGGAGCTTCTGGGGATATTAGGTTTCCAAAAATATCCTGCTTTTTCTTTTTTTTTTTTTTTTTAAAAAAAAAAAGACTTTATTCTTGTTTTAAGTTAGTATTTTATCCTCACCTCTTTTTTGACTAAAAAAAAGTTCATTGTTTCTGTACTCATTGCTTGAAGAGAAAGCAGCATCAACTAAAGGTGGAACAGTTGTTTTAACACCCACACCTTTAAGTTCAGCACTGACTTCAAACTCTAGATTTGAAGTAAACATTGTTCCCTGTGAAGATTTTGATCCAATTTTTTTTGCATAATCATTGAGTGTTGTTATGGTGTCTGAAATTGACGATAGACTGCATTGTACAGTCTAAAAATATTTTTTATAAGTATACTTGAATAAATTAAAATTAAGTAAATAAACTATAAAAACATAAAATAAATATAATTAAAATACTTAAATAAATTGTCATAGACTTATATATTGCTAGTTGGAAGTATTTATGTTTGTTACCTGACGCACTGTAACTCCACCATGAAGGACATAGCTACCAGAAGATGTTTTATAGGTTGGAACAAAAATATATCCTGTTGAGAAACCTGGATCACTAGTATGAGACGAAGTGAATGGATTTCCTTGAAGAATATTGTATCCGGTCATTATTGAAACGATATTAGGGTACGGTTCATGACCTGGATTACACCATTCAGCATCGCAATAAGGTATTGCCAAACATTTGTTTTTAAAGACGAACAACAAAAACACAAACAAATACATTTGTTTAACTAGTGCAAAAAAGAAAAAAAACTTTTATAGAAGCTTTATGCATGTTACAGATGGTTGGACCTAACATAAATTTTAAATACAAAAAGACTTTATTTGAACAAACTGATTTTTATTTGCTTTTTATGTCAGGAAGGCTCTATCTTTTTACTAGTTTTTAAAGGAAGTCTAAATTATAGGCATTTTAAATTATAGTTATTAAGATCTTTGACAAGCAGCAAATTAATATTTTAAAGTGAATATTGACAAAGTTATAAACAGAGTTATAGTATACCTTAAGTTATGTTGAACATTTTTAATAATACATCATGTTATTTTTGAAATTTTCAATACGTACAACATGTCGTTTTTTGTTATCTGTAATAATTACAACCTGTCATTTTTGTCGTCTGTAATAATTAAAATATGTAAATTTTGTGATCTGTACCCAGTGAGCAAGCGTCGTCCGGGAGACATCCGTTGGATGTCTTACGGACGTTTAGACGTCCATGAGACGTATAACGGATGCCATCTCCCATACGAAGCGTGCTCACTGGGTAATACTTGTAACATGTCATTTTTATCGTTTTTAATACTTATAACATGTCATTTTTGTCGTATGTTATTTGACTTTGTTCTTGCGGTATTTGCGGTATTATCATTTTGTAAAATAATTTAAAAATTTGTTAAAATATTTTTTTTCAACATTGCACAACACTCTTTGAAACATAAAATCTACAGGTTTGATTTACTAAAAAAAAAACTATATTAAAAAAATTTACAAGTTTGATATACAAAAAAAGAAATTATAGCTATTTGCATATTGTATGTATGTATATCTAACCATTTTGATGTTAATATACATGTATTTCCTCAATTTGTTTGTATTTTTACCCATTTGTTTTCGTTTTTAAATTAAAATTTACTCCACAATACTTTATATTAAAAAAGTATGCAAACATGTAATATTGTATTTATACTTATTTTAAAATAAGTTTTGTTTAGAACTATGATGATTTAAATAGACTCTTTGTATAAAAAGATGTATTTGAGTTTAAACACTTGAATAAACAAGTGTAGATATAAATATTACCCCAAATGTGCTTACCTGTTTTACTTGGCAATGTTTACATTTGTGTAGAATGGCTATTTATTTTCGTAAAAAATTTATATATAAAGTATTTTTTTATGAGTACTTTATTTATATAAATCTATATAAAGTACTCATAAAAAATGAAGGTATAGCATATAAAAAAATATGTATAACCAGCTATTATATGACAGATCATTTTAGTATATTCAGCTGAAGCAGATGCGTAAAAACGAGTAAAAATGTAAAATTATAGTAACGTAAATCCTAGGTGTTTTTTAAAACGGTATCATTTAACTTCTCATTTAAAGCCAATTTCATATAACTGATCACTTTTAAATACATTACTATTTCAATTACTTGACTCGTAAAAAAACCGAAAAAAACTGAGTTTTTATGAGTTAAATTAATTAAAGTTATACCACAACAAATTCTTTTTAACAATTCTTAAAAAATGTATAATAGAGGTTATCTTTACAGGTGTTTCTTATAAATTATTTAGCGACAAAAGATAAATATTTTACCAAGTTTTTGGAGTTTTGAACCCCCTTTCGAAACATAACTAAACGAAAAACAACAGCATCCCCCCCCCTCCCCGATATTTTAACTGCAGATTAATTAGAATAAGCCTCTAAGTTTGAGAAACTGAATGATACACAAGAGAATTGAAAATTCTCTTGTGTATCATTAGGCTTTTTTATATATTGACGATACTAAGCACTAAAAACTGTTATCAAAGCTTCGTACTTTTGTATGTCAACTAGAAATCAGTTTGATTTGTTTCAAAAACAATCCATAGAAACATTTAGTTTGACTTCAAAGCATAGAAACATTTAGTTTTGGATTTAAAGTTGCCATTTTTGTGTAATACGAGCATGCTCAAATTATACTTGAGCATGCTCGTATTGCACAAAAATGGCAACTTTAAATGATATTATATCAATATCAAGTGTTTTTCAAAGAAACTACCTGTTTAAAGTCCGAAAATAGCAGTGGTTTTAATTGCTTTTTGAATAAAAACAAAACATTGTAAAAAATTGTAATATTTTAACAATACTAAAATATCTTTCTGTAATCTAAATTCAAAAAATTTGTAATTTTATCGTTTAAAGGTTTGAGTTTATAAAATTTAAAAAATAACGAACTAATTTTTTTTGTGTCTGTAAAACAAAGTATTATTGTGTTGATAAAAAGTGGCTTAAATTTGATCTTTTAATGATTAGTTTTGATTATATTTCACGAATCATTATATTTCACAAATTAGTTTTAATTGTCAGATTGGTACTATTTTTTTACTTAATAAATGTTATTTTTTGAGCTAATTTAAAGTGCTCATATTACCAGGTGGTTTGGGTAATATGAGTACTTTTGCTACTTTTTTAAAACCTTTGTGTTTTGAAGAAAAAAAATTTGGGTGCCCAAATATCTACGTAGGTCATGAGTTATGATCCTTAAAAATTGTTTATATACAAAAATGTAGGACCCAGCATAATTATTTTTGAAAATATTTAAATTTTCGCCTAAGGTGCTCATAATACCCTAACCTTCTCTATTTATAAAAGGTCACCACAGTTTAGAAATTTAAAGTTTACATTCTGAGTATACAAAACAAATTTGATAAAATTAGTAAGAAGAATAGGGGAAAGGCGATCATGATGGCATACTTACTTAAGATCATGGGAAACTTGATGATTTCATTTAACCTTAGAGTGCTCCCTCAGAAAAGCAAGAAATTACTCGGAACTATCCTAATTTACTATTTCATGCTACACAGCAGCATTGTAAAATTTTGCGCATGCGTAAGGATATATATATTTTTAATTTTATTTAGGTGCGTCTAGAAGTCCTTACGGTCTTATCTCAGAGCACCGCGGATGAGCATTTAATCGGAAGTTCACGCCTCCTTCCTAACCAATGTCGCAAAACTTCCCCAGATGTGAGGTTTGAACCACGGATTCTTTGTTTCTGAAGCAAGTGCGCTACCACTGCGCCACGGCTGCTCTAACAGGTCGTACGCCGAACGAAAAACGGCAACAAAAGGATCAGCGCTGTGTGTGCAGATAAGTGATGTCCCACAGACAAGCGGTCTTTTAAAACGGGCTACTGACAGTCAGCTCTCGTTGACCCCTTTTGCAAGCGCGAACTTTCGTTCAAACGCGCTTCAAAACAGTTCACAGTGAGAATATATTGCGTTTTATACATTTTTTTGACCAAAAATATAACTTCAGGTGCATCGCTTTTTTTTTTGCTTTACTTGAAATAATTTTTTCTTGTTAAAAAAAAAGGTTTCCCCAACTCGTCAATATTGCAAGACACCAAACTCGTCAGTATGCCATCATAGAAAGAAGTCATCATTTTCATTAAAACAAGCTGTGTTTGCTGCGTTCAAAGATAAAATTAAAGTAAGTAAAAGATAAAATTAAAGTAAGTATTTCACAAAATGCACAAAACTTGGATATAAAATGCATGAAAATTCCCTTTCTGCGCAGTTAATAATAAAATCACAATAATAAATATATAAAGGGATTAAAACTACAACAGCACATCCCAAAATTGATTTTTGCTGCTTATAAAAACAATATTTGTGCACAAGGGACGTATTTTCATTAAAACTAATGTAAAGTCAGTATAGTCATGTAGATCTACTTTTTCATCAAAACAAATTTTTATGGAAATATGACCGCCTGGTATGGAAATAAGCGCCTATGATGGCATACCATCATAGGCGCTATGCCATCATAGGCGCTTTTTGCCTATCTATTCTGTTTATATCAATGATGCAAAAGTAATATCAATGGTTGATTGTGAAGCAATTGTTAACCACTTACAAAATGACCTAGATAAAGCTGTCGACTGTTCCAACAAATGGCTAATAAATTTTAATTTTGAAAAGTGTTAAATCATGCACTATTAACCCAAAAGAGTTTATTTTATGCAAAATAATATCTTTTATACCTTTAAGTACCAACGTCGCTGAAAAAGATCTTAGTGTAATATTTGCTTCTGACTTTAAATTAAAAAAATAACTCTATGTGCAAGTAAAGCAAATAAAGTTTTTGGTATGTTGAGGAATGAACTTTTAGATTTAAAAACTGAATTACTAAAAATTGAATACACGACTTTTGTAAGACTTTTAATTAGAGCTATTAATGGGTCGGGTCTAGGTCAGGTATCAGTGGACTCGGACATAGAACCGACTTTTAATACGCGGGTCTAGGTTTGCGTTGGGTTTCAAACAACCCGCCCGGACCCAGATTCTATCTAAAAAACGAGTCAGGGTCCAGAACCAACCCTAACAGTTATTTCAAAAAAAAAAGCGAGTATTTTTTCTTTAAAGGTGCTCTAAGAAGTCCTAATAGTCTTATCACATAGCAGCATTAAAGAGTTGATATTGGTCTAATAAATGCAAGTATAATCATGGCCACCAAGAACTGTATTGTTACTAAAGTAGTTTTTCTCCGTCATCATATTAAGTAGAGCGTTGCAAATAATGAAAATATTGAAAAATTAAAGCATTTAGCTATTAAAAATTCCATTCTGTAGTTCTTAAGGGTCTTTGAAGGAGTTCAGAGCTTACATTTGTACCCGCGCAACAACAAAAGAGCAAGACAGTAAATTGCGTATACTGAAGGCATGGAAATATAAAGGAAATCTTTATGCGTAATAGTGTCTGAAGGCTTTTGTGGCTTACTTTTTTTAATTTAAAATATTATCTATATTAGTTTGAGAAGACCCTGCTTAGTATGCTTAATTAACTGATACCTTATGTGAGTTGCTTTTCCAGTGTTGCTTGTACTCAAAAATCCGAAAAATTCTTTTAGGAATTTTATTTGCAACTTTGCACCACCTTGAATGTACCGCGTTAATACCCTTCTTAGATTGTAGTTATACGTATTTATCTCATTCACTTTTTTTTAGTAATCATTTTTATTATTTTTTGAACATTTGAG